CCTTGAACCTCCCATGAACCAATGAGTTTTTACTGAGGAAAAACATTTTAAAATGTTATATTAAAAACAAACAAACAAACAAAAACCTCTCACCTTTGAATTTATGGACAGCAACATGTCTCCACAACGATTGGACAGGGCCACGTTTACCGCATTAGTCCATGAACATGTGGAAACTGAGCGTTTCAGTTGTCCTGCGTCTTTATTGTGCGTTTTATTTCATGTGCCTGTTGTTAAAGGTCTGGACTGAACTCTTCTACTATAAAGACATTATCCAGCTGCAAGACCTTCCCTCAAAAGGATGTCGTCTCTATGTTGTTGTAAATGTACAAGAAATTGAGATTCTCGTACACTAAACCATCAGGGCTTCACATGTTGTCGTACCTGTGTAGGTGCTGCTAACCCAACTGTTGCGCGACGCAACATGACTCTGCCGGGAGAGAACGGCCAAAACCTGGTGGAGTGGAGGTTCAGGAAGGAGCAGACGAGAGGAAAAGTCATCGTCTTTGGAAGAAAACTCAGAGTGAGTGCTCTTTAGCTCAAACTTCAGATAAGCAGAGACCGATAAGTTTGTTGTCCATGTAAATCAAACTGGGGTTGGTGCGCTTCGTTTGTGCAGGTGTGAACACAATAGCTGGGCTACGGACCAAAACAAGCGCAGTGGTGCTGGTGTGGGTCTAAATGAAGTGTGTTTATGGTTACAAAGAGATAAACATAATAAGTGTAAGAATGCGAGGTGCATATCCTCCAATGCTTTTTGCCAAACCATCATTTTGTTGTTATATATCAGCATCAGCCGTAGATGTCTGCAGAAGGTGTCTGTAGTGTGAAAGCTCATGCACTCATGAGCAGAGGGCCACCAGCTGTAAGTGTCTTAAAGAAAGGTGAGAGCACAAACACGTCTATCACAGAGACTGAAATCAAAGCTCACACGGTGCTGAGTCGTGAGACGGCAATCACTGTATCCATCATGTAGGTTACAGAGTTTCACTGTCTGCATATTATAGGTGCGTGTTTTTGTTCTTGCAAGCTGTTAGGAGAGGAAGCGCTTTGACTGCAGCGCTTTGAAAATGACACGACGCCCTCTCTCCCAGCCTAACAGGACACAATCCTTTTAGTCATGTGACTCCAGTGAAGCTGAGCTGCTCTCAACATGGCCCAATAAGCAATAATGAAAGTGTCACCACAGGCGACCCATTACTCATAATAGGGAGTGTTGTAGATGTGTTTTTATTAATGAGTGTTCAGAGGTGCATTTAAATTATGAAGTATAATTTGTCATTAATAACTCAATGACAGCCCAGCTTAATGATGACAGTGTAATCACAGTCCTTTGAAGAGGAGCAAAGTTTTACTGTTTCATTGGGTTCTGCTGTGAACTGAGGACAACATGTCAGTGAAGTAGAAAGCTGCATGTTTAAGCTGCTGGTAGAATGATGACAAAACCTGCTGTCAGACAAGAAACAACACAGAACACAGGACAGCTACTTTACTTTTTAATGTGCATTTGTTGAGCTGTGTGGTGATTGGCTCAGCTCAGCGTGAGGCAGCCAGTCTTTGAAACGCTGAAGAACTTTGTCTGGATTTGTTTTTATCTCTAAAAATAGCAAATAAAACAGCAATAAAGACTTTGTTCCTGCTGCAGAGTTGATCTTAGTTCACCGACTCAGACGCAGATTTTTACGTGACTCAATTGTTATTTCATGGATCATGCTTCAAATCTCAGGTTAACACTTATTAGAATATTTATTGCTAAGTCTTTGATCAGAGGGGTGACTGAGTATTTATCCTGAAATGTCTCAGAAATAAGAGACAGTCCAGCCTGTCTCTTATTTCTGAGACGTTTACGACATGTGTGGTGCTCCCTAAGAACAAAGCGTACACACTATATTGCACTATCATCGTCTGGGTTAACACACGTATGAAGTTTGTTGCAGCTAAAACAACTGTGTGGTATCAGACACTGAACAGACAAGAAGACTTAGTCTCTGCTCTAAGTCACACAAAACAGGTCAGGACTCTGTGCAGGCCAGTCAGATTCTTCACTGATGCCTGAACTCGTTGCTCTGGTGTTATCCTGTCACAGTACGATTCACTGAACTCCTGTAGAGTTCCCCATTCTTTGGCAAATGTTGGTAGAAGCAGTGTGCATGCCTATGTGCTGGATTTTATACATCTGTGGGACATCTTTCCATTCTTTGGATGGGTGAGTGAATAGTATGTGCACAGTGATTTGTCTGGAAACATTTTAGGAAATCTGCACTTTCCAAAATGTTCATCTGGACGTAGCGCTGTGTGGGAGAAACGTTTCGTCACTCACCCGACCTGCAGTCAGCTGAGAAGACGAAACGTTTCTCCCTCTGAAAACATCCAGATGAGCAACTTTTGGAGATTTACTTACCTGGATCACTGAGATGCATCAAGACTTTCCAAAAGACTTTGCATTTATGAAGAATTCAGCACACTGGCTTCATATTTACTGTCAGTTTGTGCATTTTGTGTAACTTTTGATATTTTGTGTATCTTAATGTTTTATGAATGTGTCTCCGCCTCTTCAGGTGAATGGGAGGAACTTGCTGTCTGTGGATTATGATCGTACACTGAGAACTGAGAAAATCTACGATGACCACAGGAAGTTCCTGCTGAAGATCATCTATGATACCCAAGGCCATCCAACACTCTGGGTTCCCAGCAGCAAGCTGCTGTCAGTTAACCTGACGTACTCCAGGTGAGTCATTCTGCTCGATGTGCACAACACTGTAGTACACAAAGACTGTGGTGTCAGATCTTTGCAGATTCCTGTTGTTTGCATGTTCTCACAGTGGCTGCATGTATCCTCTCACATGCTGATGCCTAAAAATGTAAAACAATGTGTGAATATGGTGGAACGTACTAATGGCTGTTTGGTGCTGGAGCTGCACTTACACTGGTGTTGTTTTGTCTCAGCATCTCAGTTGTCTCTCTTGCTGTCTCTGACACACACAGTGTGAAACTACTTTTGCTGTGCAAACCTGTGCTCATTATTTGAACCAGTTCTGTGAGTTATGGAAACATTTGTGGAAGCGTCACATCTTCTTACACGCTTATA